GTGCGGGCGGGGGTAGTGGTGGGGTCGGGTCGCCTGGTGCTGGAGCGGACGAGGGGACCCTGCCCAGTCCAGCTGAGTCGCCGCCCCTGCAGTTGCAGCAGCCGCAGCAGCCGCCGCAGTCGCAGCCTTCGCAGCAGCCGCAGCAGCCGCAGCAGCCGTCGCAGACGCGGCAGACGAGTGTTCTCCCGCCAGGGTGGCCCGGCGCTGGCGGTGGACGGGCGCGTGGTGGTGTGCCGCGAGGTGGCTCTTCCGGCGGGCGTTGTCAGTACCAGATCCAGACCGGTCCTCGCCGCGGTTTCGTTTGCGGTAAGATCGGTCACTCCACTCCCCGCTGCTTTCGTCGCCTGGACGACCTCTTTCGTCAGCGTTTCGGCCCGTCGCCAGACCTCCCGGACTGGCACAGTTTGCTTAGTCGTCAGATTCAGATCTTTGATATGGACATGGATGCCATTGTTTCTGCTCTGCATGTGATGTATGCTGATGACTCTAGTGTGCTTCCGACTTATTACTCACTGTTGCCTAGTGTAGGTGTGCCTAGCTTAGCCCCCCCTGCTGCGTCAGGCGTAGGATCCCCTGCTTTGTGTAGTCTTGGTGCTTCTGTCGTCGTTCCGTCGCCAGACCCCTCGGCTTCGCTTTCCTTCACCTTGGACTCTGGCGCCTCTCGGTGTTTCTTCCGCGACTCCACCACCCTGACGCCGCTTCCTGTTCCTGCTGCCGTTTCTCTTGCTGACCCCTCCGGAGGCCCGGTAGTCGCCCGCAGTTCCACCACCCTTCCCTGTCCGGCGGTTCCTTCGGGCTCTCTTACAGGTCTGCATATCCCATCGTTCTCCAGGAACCTAGTTGGTGTCGGCTGCCTCCAGGACCTTGGCGTCACCACTACGTTCCCTGGTCACGAGCGGTATGCTGTCTGTACCGAGGCCGCCACTGGTGCCCCCCTGTCCACGTTCCCCCGGGACCCGGTGTCCGGCCTGTTCACTCTGGACACCGTGCCCCCCCCGGCTAGAGCGCCCCCTCAGGTGGCTGTGTCTACCCAGGTTGCTGCTGCCTGCTCCTGTCGCTCCCTCACTCACCCGACCCTCCTGTGGCACCACCGCCTAGGTCACCCTGCGCTCCCGCGTCTGCGTCACATGTCCCAGCACGGTCTTGTCCTTGGTCTCCCAGGTTCACTCCCCGCGTTTCCCTCCTCCCCAGCTCCACCTTGCACGCCTTGTGTCGAGGGTAGGCTTCGCCGTGCCCCTCACTCCTCCTCGTTCCCCCCTACCGTCGCGCCGCTGCAGACCCTGCACGTGGACGTCTGGGGCCCCGCCCCCGTCCCTGGGCCGCGTCGCGAGCGCTACTTCCTTGTGCTTGTCGACGACTTCACTCGTTACACCACAGTCTTTCCCCTGGAGCGCAAGGCCGACGTGCCTGGCGCCCTCATCCCCTGGCTTGTCTCTGCGCGTGTCCACCGCGGTCTCCCTGTCTTGCGTCTTCACTCAGACCGTGGTGGCGAGTTTGCCTCAGGTGTCCTTGGTCGCTTTTGTCGTGCGGAGGGCATCACCCAGACGTTCACCCTACCGGACTCCCCACAGCAGAATGGGGTCGCTGAGCGACGCATCGGCTTGGTCATGGAGGTCGCTCGCACCTCCATGGTCCATGCCGGTGCACCCCATTTTCTGTGGCCGTTCGCTGTGCGCTACGCTTCTCACCAGCTTAACCTGTGGCCGCACCCTCAGCAGCCGCAGGTTTCGCCGACCCGTGTGTGGACTGGGTCTCCTGGTGACGCGTCTGCGTTCCACGTCTGGGGCGCCTTGCTCACGTCCGTGCCTCCGGCACGGACAAGCTCACTGCCCGCACCCTTCCCTGCGTCTTCCTCGGTTTTCCCCTTGACGCGTCCGACTGGCACTTTTACCACCCGCCGTCTCACCGCTTCTTTCACTCTCGTGACGTCACCTTTGACGAGTCCGTCTCCTACTACCGCCGCTTCCCCCACCGTGGTCCACCGGTTACCCCCCCCCTGTTCCTGGTCACCCCTTCCCCGGTAGTCCCTGCCCCTCCTCCTCCTCCTCCCCGTCCTGCCCCCTCTGGTGTCTCCCATGTCACCCCCCTTCCGTCCGTGGACCCGGTTGAGGAGTCTTCTGACTCTGGTGGCCCTCCGGTGCAGTCCTCGCCGGCCGCCCCTCCCCAGGTGTCCCCTCCCCAGTTCCCTCCTCCGCCGTCCCTGCCGCCACTGCAGCCGTCGCCGTCGCCGCCGCCGCCGCCGCTGCCGCAGTCGCAGGCCCCGTTCGCTGACTCTGGGGGTGCTCGTCCCGGTCCCCCTGAGGGTGGTCCCTCTGGGGGTGCGGGTGTGGAGCGTGCCGGTGGTAGCCGAGGAGCAGCTTGCGGTCCAGGTGTCGCCGTTGTGCCGCCGCAGCAGCAGTCCCCGCCGGTGTCCGCCCTTCGCCTGCTCGGCCTTCCGTCCCCCGACCCTGCGTCGGTTCCTCCCCGACCGTCTCCTCCTCTTCCTGTCTACGGCCCTGTTTTCCCTCCGCCGGACTCGTCCCCGGCCCGTCTCCCCCCTCGTTCACCTCCTGTGTCCCCTCCCCTGTCTCCTGACCCGACTCCTCCATCGCACGTCTGGTCTCACCGTCCCTCCCGTGCTCGTCCTGCCTCGCCTGTCCTGCGCTCCCACCCTATGTTGCTTCGTTCACACGCGTCTCGTCCTCCCCTTCTGCCGTCGCCTCCTCCGTCCTCCCTTGTTGTTGCGCCTCCCCCGCTGTCCGACTACCTTCGTGCCGCTCGTCCCCTCGTTCCTCGGGTCCTTGCCTCTCTCGTTACCGACCCGTCTGTTCCAGTCTCGTGCCTTGACGCTCTTGTCGCTGCTGTCGCTGACTTCGCCTCTACGCGGCGCCTTGACTACGCCACCGCTCTGGTCTCTGACCCTGCCTGTCCTCCGTCTGTCGGGGGTGCTTCTGCCCTTGGCAGTGACGTCCTGGAGGACCGCCAGTTTGAGCTTGCTTTCCTCTCCGAGGCTGCTCCCCATCTCTGTTCCATGCTGCTAGTCCCTGAGGGTGACCCAGACGCTTTCGACATCCCGACCCCTCGCACTTACGCTGAGGCGACTTCGGGACCCTGGGCCTCGCAGTGGATAGCTGCCATGGAGCAGGAGATGGCATCTTGGAGATCCACCGGCACCTTCGTCGACGCAGTTCCCCCACCTGGGGTGAACGTAGTCGATGGCCGCTGGCTCTTCAAGGTGAAGCGCCCTCCTGGAGAGCCGCCTGTCTTCAAGGCGCGCTATGTGGCTAGAGGCTTCAGTCAGCGCGAGGGGGTGGACTTCTTCCAGACTTTCGCTCCGACCCCGAAGATGACTACTCTTCGGGTTCTGTTACACCTAGCTGCTCAGCGTGACTACGAGCTTCACTCTCTCGACTTCTCCACTGCCTTCCTTCAGGGCAGCCTACACGAGCAGGTCTACCTGCGCCGCCCTCCGGGCTTTACTGGCACCTTCCCTCCTGGGACCCAGTGGCTCCTGCGGCGCCCCGTCTACGGCCTGCGCCAGGCTCCCCGTGAGTGGCACGACACTCTGCGTGCTACGCTTGCTGACCTGCAGTTCTTTCCGTCTTCTGCAGACCCTTCACTCTTCGTTCGTGCTGGCCAGACTCCGTTCTACATCCTCGTCTACGTCGACGACTTGGTCTTTGCCACAGCAGACAGGGACGCGCTGGCCTCCGTGAAGGCAGAGCTGCTGAAGAGACACACCTGCACTGACCTTGGAGAACTGCGCCGTTACCTTGGCTTGCAGATCTCCAGGGACAGAGCTGCGCGCACCATCACCCTGACTCAGTCACACTTGGTGCGCCAGGTCCTTCAGAGGTTCAGCCTTCAGTTCTCCTCTGCACAGCCCACCCCTCTGCCTGTAGACCACAGGCTCTCCGCTCCAGTGCCTGAGGAGTTGGTAGAGCCCAGCGGCCCCTACGCAGAGCTGGTGGGTTGCCTCATGTACCTGATGACTTGCACTCGCCCAGATCTCGCATACCCTCTCAGCATCCTGGCTCGCTTTGTGGCCACAGGCAGACACCGACCGCAGCACTGGTCTGCCGCTAAGAGGGTTCTGCGTTATCTTGCTAGTACATCGGGCATGGGGTTAGTGCTAGGAGGACGCAGGCCAGCGGTCCTTACTGGGCACACAGACGCTTCGTGGGCAGACGACGCTGAGACTCTCCGGTCTACCCAGGGCTACTGCTTCAGCCTTGGCTCAGGTGCCGTCTCGTGGAGAGCTACTCGCTCCTCGTCTGTTGCACAGTCCAGCTGTGAGGCTGAGATCTACGCCGGTGCCATGGCGGCACAGGAGCTCCGCTGGCTGACCTTCTTGCTCACTGACTTAGGTGAGCGACCTAGCTCTGCCCCGGTCCTGTTCGCTGACAACAGGGCCATGATCCTCCTGTGTCAGGAGCCTCGACTCGAGGGCAGAGCGAAGCACATTCAGCTGCGGTACTTCCTCCTGCGTGAGCTACAGCAGCGACGTCAGGCTCGCGTAGTACACTTGGCCTCAGGTGCCAACACGGCTGATATCTTTACGAAGGCGCTTGCGCCTAAAGATCATCAGCGGCACTGTGTACAGCTTGGTCTAGTTCCTGTAGCCTCTCACTTGCTAGGACCTTGACTTTGTACTGTCCTTTATATGTATACACAGACTGGACTTGTGTCCTCTCCCAGTGGCTGGACTAGTAGTGCCGCCCTGCTCTTTGCTTGCCTTGTCTGTACTCCTTCTGACTGGTCTTTTAGACCCTTGTCTCAGAGGTTGGACTAGTAGTGCCGCCCTGAGCTGTTTGTTTAGGACTTTCCCCTATGCAGTCTAGGGGGTGTGTCAAACATGTCTATTTGTTATGTTTGTATAGACTGTATAGGGTAGCCTCTTAGAGGGTACAACACTTAGCTATATTGTGTGTACTCTCCCTCTATCACCATCATTCAATTTTCTGATAACTAGGACAAACTTACCATGTACCCTCTATTCTAGTCCATTTTGTTATTTTAAGATTGGAAATGCACATATATTTCACCGCATGACTTAAGACATGTTGTTTGAGAGCCTGCCCTCGTGATTCTACCTGCAGCTATCATGGCATGCTGCCATGCCATGCCACACCATCCAAATCACGTCAACAGGCTCTCTAACAACAGGCTCGATTGAAGGCTGAACTACACTGCACCACCTTCCCATCTCATCCCACTCATGCCTGCCTGCGAATTCTCATACCACGGGATCTAGCAGGCATTCAGCTCCCTTAACCATCCAGCCTCACCTCCCATCCCCTCCATTCCTTAGTTCCTCAGCCCAAACGCCCAGCCCTTAGGGGCCTTCTGGAACTGCCCCCTGGCGGCGCCTGAGTCGAACCCGGGCGAGGCAACCACGGCATAGAACGCACTGGGCTGTGCGACAACGGCCAGCGCCACGTCTTTCACCGTCTGCACGCCGTCAGCCGCAGCAGTGCTGCCGGCGCCCGCCCACACACACGTGAGAGTGAACGTGTGCAGCCCTGCTGCACGGCGACTCTGAGACCGCCCCCACGCGTGCTGCAGGCGGCCCCACACGCGTCCCATGGCACCGCTGCCAAGAGAGGAGGAGGGCGGGGAGGCAACGGTGGTCCAGGCAGGGGGGGATGCGCCGTCAGCGGCGGTGGCGGTGGAGAAGTCGAGGAGAGGCAGGCCATTGGTGCCGGCGGTGCCGATGTTGAGAGTGAGCGAGGTGGGCGAGTCGGGACCAGAGAGGGAGATGCGCACCGTGAAGACCACGTCGTAGTCCGTGCCGTTCCTGACTCAAGCAAACGGGAGGGCAGGCAGGAAGGAGATGGAGAGGAGATGGCATAGGAGAATGGTACAAGTGGACAAGACCCCAGGAGCGTGAAGTATGTGTTCCTTCTCAATCCAAAATTTATAGACCATTTTATAGACATTGCAAAAGCGTGGGCAGCAGCGCACTCACTGGAGGAGGGTGATTTCGAGGACGCCAGTGGCGTTGCCATCGCCAGTGGCTGCCATCGCATCATCCACCACACTGCTGCCCCTCAGCCGCGCCAACACGCCTCCCGCACTCTTCCCGCGCTTACCCGACCCGTCCCCCCTCCCCTTCCCCTTGCCCTGCCCGTTGCCCTGCCCCTGCCCCTTGCCATTGCCCACCCCCATCACCCGCATCATTGTGGAGCTCGCACTGGAACTTGTCGCCCCACTTCCAGGGCTTGCAGTCTCGGTGCTGTTCCCTGCGCCGTTGCCCTTGCCCTTGCCGTTCCCCTTGCCCTTCCCCTTACCTTTCCCCTTACCGTTCCCCTTGCCGTTCTGCTTACCCTTCCCCTTGCCATTCCCCTTACTCCCCTGACCCTTCCCGTTGCTCGTCCCGTTCCCCTGCCCCTTGCCATTGCCTACCCCCATCGTGCCCATCATTGTCTCACTCGCGCCGTTAGTGGTTGCCACAGCTGCAGCGCTTGCTGTCTCTGTGCTGTCCCCCTTGCCATTCCCCTTGCCCTTCCCGTTCCCCCCCTTCCGCCCAAAGATTCCCCCCAAGTCGCCGGGAGTGCTGCCGTTGCCAAAGAGGCTGGAGAGCCCCGAGAAAACGCCGCCCTGACCCCACCCGCCCGTGAAATTTCCGCCAGTCAGCGCGCCCAGAATGCCGCCACCGTTCCCGCCTCCCTTTCCGCCTCCGCCCTTCCCGTTTCCTTTCCCACCGCCGTTTCCGCCTCCTCGACCGCCCCCCTTCCCGCTTCCTTTTCCGCTTCCGCCTTTCCCCTTGCCGTTACCACCAGGAGCAGCAAGCGCACCTGCATGAGCAAACCATGCCGCGCGTCATTCCTCGGAAAGGTCACCAAAACTCACGGCAGCGAAAATGATCGCGACGAGCAAAGTGAGACGGAGTGCGAGGGAACTCACAGGAGGTGGCCAGTAGAACCAGAATCAGAACCGCGAGGACCCTGGTCGCCGCCATGGTTGGAACTAACTTTAGAACGAGTCCTCGTGGTCGACTTTACGCTGACTGCGAGTTGGCGATGGGATTGACTGGTGAAGACTTGGAGCGGCAGAGTCGACTGGTGATGCCGATGAAAGGGCGCCATGGATCATTACTTAATACGCCGAGAGCCTCCCGGGGTGTGGCTGGACGAACTGCAGCCTGAGGCCCAACGCCTGCGAAGTCCACAACTCGTTGCGAGGGATGCGAGCACGGGTAAGGAATCGAGGAGATCGCGTCGCGGTCGGAGGCGAGTACGCGACAAGCTATCGGCCATTTCCGGCGGCTTTCACGGGGTGAAACGAGGAGACTGCGCGCAGACTGCTGCTCATGCGCCATAAAACGGCGAGCTGCTTGGCTCGCTGTAGGCGGTAGCTCGGCTTATCAGCGACCGCGCTTCGCGACGCAACTCTCGTTCGTCGTCGTCTTATGGCCAATCATGTCGGCAGCCATGATTCTGGAGGCGAAAACCGGAGCCAGAGAATGGGCGGTTGAGCACGATCGATCTATGGATCTCGATCCCCAGGGGGATCGAGATACGCAGGCTTGTCCTGTCCGCGGGTTGCCATGCTACCGCACCACCACCACCTAGTCTCTCCGCTCTTACCTCTGAGGTCGGCTCGCCTCCCCCCATCTATCCACCATGCCCTGCCTTTCTAACACCGACCGTGACGGCGGGTCGCTAGACTCGAGCAAACATGCCTAGCCAATTGGGAGATTTGGCTACTAGTTTGGTTGGAATGCACTTCAGGGCGCGTTCGTCTAATAAAGATATCTACGCTTTCAGTGCCCCGTTCCAAAAAGCGGATGAAGCTGAGTTGTTTAGGAAGCCAACTGTTTCCACTTTGGTTGGAAACGGAAACGTAGTGGGGGGAGGTCAACTTCCCAACGTGGAATGGTGATTGGAGGGGCATGTACACCTAGCCCTCGGTATTTTTTCAGCCAGTATATTCACAGGGGGTGCCGCCAAGTGGGTATTCACCCCCCGAAAGCAGCTTCTGAAGACCAGATCTGGATACCCTTGAAAACTAATTGGAGCTTGGGTTTCTATACGACACGTTTACTGCTCGATTTATTGTCTCTCGAGTCAGGAAACCCAACGTCATCTTATGCAGTGCTAAAAGTTTTCTCCCGCGTGGAGTCTACCAAGCTTAGGCCTTGAGGACAAGGGGGTACTGTCCACGCACTCAGAAATGGTCAGGGTGGAAACCAAAAAATCTCTGTCGCTCTGTTTCATGGTGTGTAATTACCGCATGCTAGGTGTATAGACTGCAAATCCTTGCAAAACTCTTATGACGGCTCCGGACCTAGGGCGTATTACTGAAGTCGATGGAGCCGCGGGTTGTCACTACCTAACTGAAAATAATTGTGTACCTGACGGTGCAGCAGTGAAACATCAACTTTTTGTCCCAAATGCGAAATGCGACTGAACTGAAAGCACGCGGGCTTGCTACAGTTGAGTTTAACTGCTCTTACATTGGCAGGCGATCATCCACGACGGTGTCTGCCAGGAGTAATAGGCCACCTGGCAGACCGTCAGTTTCCTTTTAGTCCCAAGGCGTTTTTTTTTTTCAGCCTTGGGTCCTCTCGCTAAACCCTCGGGTCTGACACTCGCTCCGGAAATGCCCGTACATTTGGTGTATGTCAAAGGAACCAGAGGCGTGCGGTGCGGTGACCTGGTGGTAGAAAGTTCAGTGAGAGGTAGACTTCTGGGGAGTGTTCCTCCGATCGATTCTAGCACTTCAGACTGAATCGTTTTGTTGCTGACACTTCGACCCTGTGTCAACCTATATCAATCCGCGCGCCTCCGAGGTGTTCTGGTCATGCTCGTTTATGAAGTGGACTCAATCGGTGCGGTCTGACGTGGAGCTCGGTGAGTGGAAGTCACCCAGCTGTTACGCCGACACCGCTGGCTCTCCTTGCTGTTTCATCTGGTGGGACGGTGGTGAATTCACGAACCGCCGGAGCGCGAACAAATACCGGCGCGTTCCACCAACCAACGCCAAAGGCGGTCCGTCCGATGTTGTCCCAAACCAACACATCTGCCTTCTCCCCTCCAGGGCTTCCCCAACGTCCCTCCCCTTTTCCCACCCCACCCCACCCCATCCAACCCAATCTCATCCCATTCCACTTCACGAACCTTGCTGCTGTCGTCGTGCTGCTCGCAGGCCCAAGCCCCATCCCAAACTGGATGAGCACTTTCATCAGCTTGTGTTCATGAACTTGTTCTCATCCCGTTCAAATTTCGCACGAATCGTTTAGTATACGCTAGTAGGGCCACTCTGCGATACACAGCTCGTACAAACTCTATCAGCATTCCTTCTCATGGCGCTGACGAAGGCTGTCATTGCCCTGCTCCTGGTTCTCGCGGTCACCTCATGTGAGTTCGCTCCCCCTCGTACTAAGTTCTCTTGCCATCTCGAGTATCGCTCATTCCAAATTCGCATTTGCGCGTTTCTCGGTCTTCCTTCAGTCCAGCACTTACGTCACCAGAAAGTGAACGCCCCAAAAGTTTCCTAAAATTAAGCGGTCTGAAAACTGTCCGAAACCTGCCTCGAAACAATCCCCATTCCCTCCAAAATCTCATGCTCCAAACCACCTTCCAAAAAGTGGCCGCCACCTGTCCCGAACCAATCTAAGCTCGGAGGAGGCTAGGCCACTCAGGGGACAGAATAGGCTAGGGAGAGTTGCCCAGGTCTGGTTTTGTTTGATCGGACGGCTGAAAATCCAATTTTCTCGTCAAAATTCAGATGACCGTTGATTGAAAAATTCGGGAAAAATTGCCGTTAGATCAGCTCGGTAATGATCTAACGGTCCAGAAACCACAAATCGATAGTGTTACATAGTTTCACGAAACGGTGTATGTCGCCAGCCTACGAAACACCCTCGCGTACCCGAGCCACAAACCAAACTTATCCACACTACGATTCGGAACCCAGACTTATTACATAATGCCACGTCATCTGCCCAAACCTCGCCCCTCCCAACCAAACCAAACCCAAGCCATGCATTCCTGTCTTCACCTTCATCCCCCTACTCTCACCGTCATTTCTTACTTGCACTTCGCCATTTCAGATCGTAGCTCGGCTTGTTCGTCATTACCGCCATTACCACTCCAGCCGCCGTTTTGACGAGATCTTTCTACGTCGTAGCTTATCGATTCCGTATTTTATTTCCTTGTTTGATCAGCGCAGGCCCAATATTGCGCTCTGGACTATTTCTACCAACAAGCGGCTGCATTCTTCGATGTATGACGTGACAATAATTGGCGGCGATTCTTTTTTCTTTTCTTTTCTTTTTTCCGACACCGTAACTGCGTGATTCTTTACTTTCGTGTTGCGTTAGGTTGCTTTCGTGCGGAAGTCCTTTATTTTTTCACCGTGATGCACTGTCGGCAAGCAAATGCACGTGTATTTCTGCACACGCTCCAGGGTTCTCATCGCATGCCAGATCGATGCCACATTATCTAGAGGTAAGTATTTATTATCTCAGCTACCTGAGTTTTATTCTGTCTTTCCTTTTTCCACTATCAAGGCGACGGCCGAGCCCCGTTCATTCTGCCCACACTCCAGTGTCCCATTGCTCGCATGAATGATGGTCGTTTCCTGTTCAGAATTGCCTTTTATGTCTGCATTTCAACTCTTGTGCTTAACAATTTTGTTGCGCAATGTTAGCCTCGTCTTTTGCACGGCTTTTATTTGGCGTGCTCTGGCCAAAGTTGCAGGTCCAGACTTTTGTTAGTCGCATTATGGGTTTTCCTTCTATGGAAATGGGTATGTTATATTTATAATCCACTGTTAATGTATTTAGAATATATGGCATGTAGAATAAAGTGTTTAATTGTAGCATGACTTGTACAAAACAATCGAGAGTTAGTAGCGAGGATGAATTGGACAGTTTGTGTGATGCCTAGGGAACACTGTACAGACACGTTAGGGCCAGTTGTCGGACAGTTTCCATTCCGAGAGCAATCCCAAAAGTGTCAGGGTTCTTCCCCGCAACCATCATACCTTCATTCGGAAAATTGTCCGAAACACCATTCCGGAAAGACACCTGTTTTTGCCCGGAATGTCTGTTCTCGGACAGTTCTGGGACAGCTGATTTCGGTGATGTTGAAACGCTGAAATTTGGAATGCCGTGTTTATTCAGGTGTGCTAGCTGATCCTATATTACAAGGCGAAAGCGAACTCACCCAAAAGTTTGCCAACTCAGCGAACTGTAGATTTCGAGGTTGGATTTGTCCAACCAAAATCGTGCATCTCGAGCTGAACAATTCCTCGACCCAAAATTGTACAGCTGCCTATGAGTCACAGCACTACTCTAGAGCAGATTCCGAGAGCCAGCAAAGCGCGGAAAGCGCCAGCGCAACCTAGAGATTAACTACTGCAGCTACTACAAGCACCAGCGAAGATTACAATCGACATCTACAAGGTGACGAAGACACCAGCACTACTTGGAAAATGATAACTACGTGTATAGTTAGTTTCTATGCTTGTTTAGCTATTTCCTAGGAGAGACAACAAGGCAAGGCTACTTGTAAATAATCATGAGCTTGCTTGCTTGCCTCCAGTTAGATAAGAAATGCCAAGGCGCCACGGGCGACCTTATCTAGGCGCCTTTAGAAGTACCAAGGTGCCAAGAAAGATTTCCTAGTATAAGTGTGCTCTCTTCTTTGTTTGAAGCTATCGTATGATCTAGTAGTGATTATGGTAGCACTCTTTCTTCAAAGATCCCTAAACCTCTACTCCTACTAACAGCCCCAGAGCTGTTATATTTGGTCTCAGAGCCACGTTCCTGCATTAATTTTTTTCTTGAACGTCATGACGTCCGAGCAACCCCCTTCTCCTGACAATTGGGCGGCTTTTCTAGAGAATTACCGCGCCCAAATCGTTTCTGAAGTTCGTGAGAGCTTGCGAGCTGAGTTGCAAGATAGTATGGCTGCAGCTGGTGCGGTAGTCACCTCCTGCTACACCTTCTGGAGATAGTCAGCGCGCTAGACCGGCGATTCCCGAGTTCTTCATCCCAGGCAAAAGTCAACCCATTGTTAGTCGTTGGCTCTTTTTAGTGGAGCAGTACTCGACACTGAGCCACGTTGCACCTTCCGAGTGGAGCGCATTTGCCGGCACGTTAATCCGCCGCTCCGCAGTTGCTTGGTGGCAAGCTGCACACACCTCCATCACATCGTGGCAGCACTTCACGCAGGCGTTCACGATCGCCTTCCAACCGGTGAATCCGAGCATCAAGGCGCGTGATTGACTTACGGCTCTCAAGCAGCTGAAATCCGTTTAAGAGTACGCCGCTAACTTCCGCGACATCGCCCAAGAAATCCCCGACCTCTCCGACGCTGAACGCATGGACCGCTTCAAGCGTGGGTTGAAGCAGAACGTGCGTATGGAGGTTGAGCTGAGGGACTTCATGACACTTGAGGAAATGATCAGAGTCACTGAACGATATGACTCAATTCAATTTGCTTACAAAGCAAGGTTTCCTCGCGCCCCGTTATTCCCTTTTGCTCCCTCCTATCAGCCCTCTGCTTCAACAAGCTACGCTCTGCAAGAACCTGCTCCGATGGATCTGGATGTGATGGAGAAGAAGCGGAATCAGAACCCCTCCGTCGTCTACTTCAAGTGCGGCAAGAAAGGTCACATCTGGCGATTCTACCGCAGTCCTCAAAATTCAAAACCACTTCTTCCTACCCCTGGAAAAGATGGTCACCACTAAGTGCGGGGCGACTTTCTGGTGCAACCCCTAGCCCCATGATCGCTTCCCTGGA